ATATCTGAGGTATGCTCATAGTCTGAAGAACTGTACATCAGCAAAATAAACAAAAATACACTTCTGTTTGGCTTCTTTTTAAATTTACTTCATGTACACTAGCACAATTTTCTTTCTTCTATGCCAGTAAATGTCAACAATTTTTTTTGCTGTTCTATTTTTCTCAAAAGAAACTACTCACTTGTCCATTATATAAAACAGACAAAATAGCTAACTCTGTAGGCCAGAGATTCCGCAATGTGCTAAGACCCACTTGCATGTAGAGGCTATTAGTGGGTCATAATGTACAAGGGTACACACATGCTCTCCAAGGCTGCTCAAGCTATTATCTAAGATCCTCAGGAAGGACACTAGGCCACTTGTGCCAAGCATCTGGTCTCCTACTTCCAAAAGTTGAGCTGTTGCAAAGGTTTTATGACCTCCCTTCCAGATTGCTTGGGCTTAGGGACAGCAGCTTCTACATAATCAATATGATCTTATTGCAGACAGTTTGGTACTTTTTTATCCTTCTGAGAATAAAATCCCAATTACACAGAATATTGTTCTATTTTAAGACACCTGACCTTCTCAAAGACATTTTTCAAGATTGCATCATGTACCAAAATAAGGACTATCCATATGCTTATCTCATGATCCTAACTGACATGTATTTTTTCCAGGTTACAAAATGGAAAATTGAAAGTCACAAAGACTAAGTTACCCAAGGTCATGAAGTATCAGTAGAAAGCAAAGGTTTCCGCATAAATTTGTATAAGCCCAAATTCAAGCTATTTCTATGCTAACACAGTCACTCAAAGATGACACAAAAATCTATTTTCAAGGAGCTTGCAACTCAAGACGCTACAGAATTAGTAAGGCACAGAGAGCAAAGTATATTGTTGGAATAGACTGAGAATACAGTCATATGTTCCTTGTATAATAAAGCAAAAAGGATGTTTCAAAGAGGCAAATGCATAGTAATATATGAAAGAAAAGGTTAGGTTAAAAAAAAAGAAATGTTAAAAAAACTGGAAAAGATAGGTTTTTGGATGTTGAAAATAAATATGATTTTGACATCAACAAGTGGAATGGGACATTTCACGCCAAGAAAAGAACATACAGGCACACAAAAAGGAAAAGACAAAGCACATACACAGTACAGCAAACCAGGCAGCATTTCCTATTTTTCCCAGGTATGAACTCCAGGAGAATTCATTAAGCATACAGCTTCCCAGGTCTTTTACTTAGAAATCCTAATTCAGTGGGTTTTAAATGGGGCCTAAGAACCTCATTTTTAAAAAAGCACCAAAGGCGATTTCATGAATAGGGAAGTTTAATAAGTATTAGGCAAAGGGGAAGAGTTGGTGAAGAGGAATCACGAAAGCAAAGAGTGGAATTAAGAGGCCAAGGAATGAAATATATATATATATCCCCAATAGCGAGTAATGGTAACATCTTAAGCATTAGGAAGGCACTCTGGTAGCCAAGAGCGGAAGGAAAGGAAGAGAATGGAGATGGGAGACCATTGTGCAGATTGCTGCCAAGCATGGACTAGAAATAGGGAGGGCCTGAACAAAGGCAGTAGAAAATTAAAAGGAAAAAAAATTGAGATATTTCTGTAATGAAAACTTGCCAGGACAGCACAACTAATTAGGAAATAGAAAGAAAACTTACAAATTGAAGTATGGAAAAGAAAGATGAAGAGTTAAAAGCCTTGGCCAGGGCTTGGGTAACTAGTGAGATATTCACACAAAGATATCCAATAAGCAGCTAGGGAAAAGAAAAGTTAAGGTGGCTAGAGATATGGATATATGACAGTCATTTTATCAAATAGCACCATTCTTTAAAGGGTCAGATAAGAGAAATACAATGTTATGATACTAAGATAATCATACTGATTTGATAATGGTCTATGAGTTACAATTTTCTTGGCAGAGGAAGGTTTCATAGTTTTTCTAAATTACTTGAATTGTGTCTCAAGTTTAACAGAGAAAGTAAAGAATAACTGCCATTGTCTAAGTAGTATCCTTTCACACTACAGTTTTACAACAAACACAAACTGCTTTTGGAGTATAAGTTACAATATTCAATATAATTTAAACATATTTTGTACAATAGAAAGCAGCAGAAAGAAGATGTTTTAGGCATTTAACACATACTGTTGTTACAAATAGAAAAAAACTCAAACTGATTTCCTAGTGAAGTACAAATCAAAGCAATTGTGAACAAAAGTTACTTTAAATAAAAAAATTTAGTTTCAACAAAAATATTCATAAGACAACTCCTTTCTTCCACCTCTACTTTCTACAGCCACTCAACCTACCACCCCAAATCCTCTAAGGTTAGGGGTGGGCAGTGGGCTAATTGCACTGATCACTGCTGCTGAAATTCCGTGTTACCAGTGAAATTTCTAAGCAGCCTTTTAGATGGCTTGGGCTTGAGGAAGACAGCATCTGTAGCACTCATCATTATATTAGAGACTTAATAACTATAAAAACCTAAGTCCAAAATTCTGACTTCATTACTTCTTATGCACACATTCTGAAACAACTGATTTCACCTCTCTGAGCACTGACTTTTTTTTATCCATGCAACAGGAATGACATATGTATAACATGGTTCTTGTAGGAATTACATTACACAAAATAAATATTTAGCACAGTTAGAAGATGAGAAAATAAAGCACTATAACGCAGTATGATAAGTGTTTTGATGGCATAGACAGATTATCACAGAAAGAAGTATCTAGCTCAGCCTGGGTGGGAGTTCAGTAAAGGAAAGAGGCAGAGGTAACCATGAGGTGATAATGGAGTTAAATATTAGAGAAAAGCAAAAAAGTAATGAGAGAGGAGATGGTACAAAAGAGACAGGGAGAGAGAAAGAGAGGGTGGGGAAGGAGAGAACATGGACTGGAAGGCACAGGAATGCAAGGAAATTTGACATCAATAAAACTCTGCTAACTCCCAAATTTAAAATTTGTGGAGTTGCCCATGCACAAATACACTTACAGAATCATGACATACAGTGAAGCTTTCATTTTGATAAGGTACAAATTTGAATCATGAACAAGAAAAACTGATACATTAATATCTGAAGATGACTCCCGAGATATCAAGCTGTCACAGTAGTGATGTTTATAAGGAATAGGGAAAGGTTTTCATGTAAAAATAAATTTAGTTTTGAGATCTAATATAGAAATATCTCAGGTCATTTTCAAGAAAATGGATCAAACTAAAAGACTCTCATGTTAAGTAAAATAAGCCAAAATCAGAAAGTTCAATATTGCCTTTTGTTTCTTCTATAAGAAACCTAAAGTGGAATAAATAAATAAAACAAAGGAGAGATGACAGGAAGCTAGAAGGCAGACTGTTGAAAATGGGGAAGGGGAAGAGGGAGAACGCAGAAGGAAAGGCACAGCAGGAAAAAAGGGCTGGAAATGACCAAGATTATGTTATATGCACTGTACCAATTCCCCAAAATGAACATCACTATTCTGTATTACCAACATGCTCTTGCAAAAACAAAGAATCCAGAAGAAAATTTCAGCCTTAGCTCCTAGAGTTTGGAATGCTGATTTACAAGTAGGCAGTAACTGATTCCACTCTATCAAAGAGATCACTCAAGGATACTACAAAGTGCAAGAAAAATTATGACCAAATTACTTCTTTTTTTTTTTTTTGGTTTTTCTCTGGTACCGGGAACCGAACTCACGACCTTGCGCTTGCCAGGCAGGCGCTTTTGCCGCTGAGCTAAATCCCCAGCCCCTGACCAAATTACTTCTTATACACACCTACTTTAGCTCACTTTTAATGCAATGAGTATAAATAGAGAGATTACTATGTGCCCAATATTAGCCTCCCCACACCATGTTCACTAATGAGCACAGCACATGGACAAAGGAGTAAAGCCCAGGGTAACACTAAAGTGCTTTTAAATCAATGGTATGATGAGTACTGCTTTAAAAAGGTAGGTGAATGTGTTAAGCAAGACAGGGAGGAATAGGTTACTCAGTTTTAATTAATACGATAAAATTTGTGAACTTAATCATTTAGGTCTCAGTACTCACTAATTTTCAAGCAAGGAAAGCACAGCAGAACTTTGGGGAGTGAAAACTTCTGAAGATGATTTTTTTGGAGAATAAATACCAGAATTTGCTCCCAATAACGGTAAGACATTACTGTACGTATTTCAGCAATGAGTGAAACTGAGGAAGACCACAGAGTGGCCTACAGGAAGGACTGGTGGAGTAAAACGCAGGAGGGAACATACTATTCAAAGACAGGGGTTTTATAGTTAGACATGGGCTCAAATCCCAGCTTCAGCTATTTACAAGGTATGTGATTCTGAGTAAATTATAACCTATCTATACCTGAATTTTTTCACAAGTAATATAACAATAACACCCATCTCAAAGGACTGTGATGAGAATTCAGCAAACAAATTACACAAAAATAACAGTAAGATGAATATAAGTGTTTTGGTCTGTGATTGTTTACTGTAATAACGGTAATAATAATCATCATCTAGCAAACCAAACAAATATCAACTAAAATCTGAATCATAAAGTTGAACCATTCAAAAAAATCTTCAAATCTAGTTTCAACTAACAGAAAAAAATGGAAAGATCTGTCAGGTATGGTGACACATTCCCATAATCCCAACACTCGGGAGGCTGAAGCAGGAGGATCGCTGCAAGTTCAAAGCCAGTCTGTTCATATAGAGAGTTCAAGCCCAGCCTGAACTACATAGCAAGACTCTTGTGTCAATAAACAAAAACAAAACACAACAAATGCCAAGATTAAAAAATAAATAATTCAATAATTTTAAGAGGGCAAGTCAATGTAGAAGTTAAAAATATTACTAATCTCCAATCACTTTACAAAGCAATTCAGTGTACACTGACTAAGTGCATATCACAAGAAATGTGCTAGTCCGGATATAGCAGGAACAGGAGATATAAAATGAATAAGAAGTATATTTTAATCTCTTATAATTCAGAAAAAAGGCAAATTAGCGATTACCTGACTAACTCGATTTACTTCCTCTTCTTCTTCCTCAGCTTCTTCTCCAAATGAAAGTAAACTAAAATTTCTGGTCAAAAAAAGAAGGAAAGGGACAAATAAAGAAACAAAGGAAGGACAAAAAAGAAAAAGAAAGGAAAAAGAATAAAATTTTAAAATTTGGATTAAATAAAACTCAAGCATCTTATTTTTAAACCATAAAATAGAATTTACAAGAATACATTCTGATTAAATAAAAAATATTACTTAGCCTTCAGCAGAAGTACACTAAAGATCTATAATTTTTAGCATAGAATTTAAAGCCCCAGATCACCACTAAAATATGATCAAAATCCATCCTGAGCAATACTATTAAATGCACTAAGTCAGGCATGACTAAAATAATTAAGCTTTTGATATTTATCAAAACTATTAACAAAATGGAGATTTCTGAAAAACTAATAAATATATAGCCCCAAGAGCACTACAAATAGGAGCAATTAATCCCGTGTTTGTCAAAATATATCTTATTATTTTAAAATATTTTAAAATAAAAAATACAAAATTGTCAGACCTAATAATAAAAAAGCCCATGGGGGGAAAAGTGAATTTATCTGTTCTAATCTTCCACTATAGTGATGATATACTGTAAATGAATAAAGTGACAGCAACCTTTCATCTACAGATAAATTAGTCAAAATAAATGAATCGAATAATAAAAGAAAAAAAAAAATATATAGCTATACAAGAAATTACTGTGTTTTGCTACAAACCATCAACCACTCTTTAAAGTGTCTGGCTATATTTGACAGTATATAAAAGCAACTTAATTTATTTATTTTAAAAAATATCAAGGGAAATAACTAATATGTACTAAATACCTACACTACAGGGTATCTCATTTAATCTTGATACCAATCAGGTGTTATATTTATTAAAATCTCCATTTTACATAAGGCAACTGAAGCTCAGAAAGATTAATAAGCCTTGCTTCTTTTTACCGATATTTTTCAAGATTCCATTTAGAAATATCTGAATCTAACATTTATAAATACAATAAAATCTCTAAAAATGAGAGTACAATTCAGTAAACGAGTAAGCTGAAATCTAACTTTGTACTATCCACTTTAATTAAACATATTATATTAATAATGTAAAGAATACTGTCACAAAATGCTGAAATTTATTTTAAAAAGAAATGCCTATTTTTTGGAAAACTATCTTAGAGATAATCTAGAATACTGAATGAAACAGCTTTATTTTAAAGAATATTTATGACGTTATTTTTCATAGCACCAAAAAAGAAGTGAAAAGGCTAAGAAATTATGAAATCATACAGTATGCATATTAAAATATTCTTTATATTGTTCTCTATTTTAAATTAATTTAAAAACAAGCAAAAAACAAGTTTCTCAACATTTACATAAATAGTTGATATAATTATAAAATATTAACGTACTTGATAAGGACATCTGACACAACACATTTGTAGCTTAAATTTAAGTTATATAATGGACTTAAATATCAATGCTCATTTTTTAATAAAATCACACATTTAAAATTCCAATATCTCCAATATTCTCATTGTTCAACTGGACTTACCCTTGCTACTAAAAAATTATTATAAAAGAAAATAAAAGAAACTAAATTATTGTCATTTCTCAAATGGAAGAAAAATCTTTATACTATGATTACTTTGTGCCTTTGGGTTTCAATTTCTTTACTTCTTCTTCTGGTTTCTCTTTTTTAGGCTTTTTAATTTCCCTTGGAATGATGTCATCAAAAGGGTTAAACAAAACCTACAAAAAGAAATAGTTTGAAAATATTATTTCATGTTTTAAGTTTCACAAAAGTTAAAACCAATATTTAACTGCACTGATATAAGTGTCTATATTTTTCCCCACATAAATATTCTTAACATAGTGACACATAATATTGAACAAAGTGATTGCATTTACTTCGGGGCCTCCCAAGAATCTTCTGTGCTATTACACAAAGGATACTATAATTTATGCCAACTTTATAAAAGGAGAAAATATTTAGGAAATTTTAAATGATACAAACTGAGATGTTTTGACTCCAAAGAATGTTTTGGTTTTGAAGGATATTGCTTCTTCAATAAAGAATAACTCTTAAATTACCTATAAAGTCATTTCTTTGGGCTAAATAAACATAACTGCTTTAACTTTTTATCACAAATTGAGGTTTTCATTCATTGGATTATCATCTAAAGCTTCATTTTGAAGTTTAAAACTTTTAATTAAAAAAGTTCTAATCAGAAGTTGTACCTAAATACATAAGTGGTATTATTAATATAACATTTATCTAATAGTTTAAATATGAATAATCAGTTTCTCTTAAATGACAATTTAAACTCTACAGCTCATAATAATCAAGTTTCTACCTCACAACTTTTGATTTTGTGTGGATTTCGTGGTCTTTCTTCATCATCAATGTCTACTTCTGTCAGTCGCAGCATATTATATACTGTATCCCCAGTAACCTATCAATAAAAATATAAAGTATGACTGTAAATTCTTGCATTCATCCTTTCAATTAATAAAGGACTTTCAAAATATTTTTAAAATAATTAAAAGGGAATTTCATATTATTGCATAAGAATATACACATTTATAATGCAAAAAAAACTATTTTAAGGGAGAAAACACAGATAGGTTCAATCTCTCAATAATCTTTTTGAGAAATTTTCAATATATACTGAATAGCAGTTTTTACTAAAGACAAAAATATAATGCCAAATAATCTCCCAAATGACAAATTTTCATTCAAGAACATAAACAAATTTAGACTAAGAGTAAAATAGGATAAGCAAACCATAACAATATGATAAGGGCTTTGCACACATTATTTTATTTAATCCACACAAAACCCTAAAAGTAAGAACTCTCATCATCCTTATCCGATAAGAAAATAGGCTCAAGGAAGTTCTAGTACTAAGAGGGTAGCTTTTCCAACTTACAAGCACTAAGCTAAATGTTAGGTCTAATGTTTACATTATATGATATAAATTGTAAAAAGTGGTATAGAAAGGTAACTTAAATAACATTTTAAAACACTGCATCTCACGGTGTTAGAGTGATTCCTTTAACTCAGCATTTTTCAAGATTTAAAAACAGTATCAGTTTTTCTCTTGCACTAGATTAGTTTCTCCCCTTTCATCTTCACAAAATCCAGTTGTGCCTATGAGAAAACAACTCTTACTGAACCAGCAGAGGGAGCTGATAAGCTAGTGATGTCTAATCTGTCTAAGAATTAAAAGTTACAGGAATATATTTATGAAAGGAAGAAAAGTGAAAGAAGAAAAGCTTCGGAATCCTTTTATAAAACGACTTGTTGAAAACTCTATAGATAGAACATTCTCTGATAGGACATCGAAGGTGAAAAGGATTGAAGAAGTACTATTCAAAGTAATACTGCTAATAAAAACTCTCAATGTCAACAGTTTCCACTTTAAATTTAAGAGAATTTATCGCTAGCAAACTTTAAGCTAGTGAACATTAGTATCTAAGTGTGCTTCTCATAATATAAAAGCAACACTGGCTGAGTGGTATAGTAGCTAATACCATGACATAGAATTTTAAAAAAGGGAAACATTACTGTCATAACAAATGACTAATTTGAAACACAATAAAGAATTCAGTTGGTCCTTCATAGTTCATTATAACAGGAATATAGTATATTCCATCATTTTTGAAAGTAAGAAGTAAATATAGGGGACGTTTTTATGAAGACAGGTCTTACAAAAGTTGACCACATATATCATCACACAAGTGTAGAGAATAAAATAAAACCAATAACTAGACCATAGATTTAAGATAATTGCACACTAACCTTTCCAAAGATGGTATGCTTGTTGTTAAGTTCATCTGCTCGACCGAGGGTAAAGAAAAACTGGCTGCCATTATCATGAGGACCACCATTTGCCATGGCAACCAGGCCTCTCCGATTAAAACGCAACCGTGAGTGAAATTCATCCTGAAGCATAAAAAATTATTTAGTGAATGTCCTCAGCTGTAAGACACTTCACATTCAGACATAGATAAAGCTGGCCAGCAGGTTCCCACACAATTTCTAACAAAAAACACTGAAGTTTATTAAAACTGATTTTTAAGTATAAATAAATCTAATATTTACTATTTGTTTAATGTTCAATAAACTTGAACTTACGACATAAGTATCTGCAAAAATATACTCAGCAATGAATATAAGCAGCCTATTTTATGGAAAGCTGCTTACTTACACACAGGGAAGAGTTCAAAGGGGAAAAGATTTCTAAGACTCTTTTTGCTATTCTCATCCATTAAAGTCATCTAAACTTTTAAAACCTTGTAGTATTTCTCCAAGAAATCAAGTTTTGATTCAAGTCTTCAACTAACGCCCCTTCCACCTCATTCTAAATATCACGAAACAATTACTTTTCTCTTGTTTTTGAATTCAAATAATCTATTATGATAGTATCCATGTAAAGTTGAATTTTTTCTGAACTGGCACTGGGCCCATCTGCCAGTTTTCAAAAGAGCAGGTGCAAGCCTTTCTAAGATGGATTTCGTGTTTTAATAGGGCCACAACCAATTCCTTAGTCTCCTAGTTAACAAAGCATCCAGACATGACACTGAAATCCATTTATAATGCTGCCATGTTATATAATCAATGATTTTCATAAAAATTACATATCCTTAGTAAATAATTATTAATAAATCTGAACTCAATTATAATTCTGCATACTGTGTTAAAAACGACATAACTGAAAACTCAACAGGATAACTGTATTACCTCAAAATAACAAAGCAAAAATCTCAAGGTAGGAGAAAAGTACCATAAAGAGCTATTCTGTGACATCAAATAACAGAACAAAGGAATGCCTGCTATGAGATGGAAGCTCTAAACCAAGACATCTCTCCTTGGTAATATTTAAAATACTTTAACAATGATACCTAAGGTTTTTTTTTTTTTTAATAACCATGTCACACTTCTAAAGCCATTATCATCTAGAAATTAAAGGAAATAGTGACATGTATATATTTTTCTCAAGAATTACACTCTGACCTTGTTCTAATCCATTATAATGAATACCAAGTTTTCCAGACTAATAGTAAATTACTAAATAGTAAATTTACTAATAGTAAATCAGACTAATAGTAAACACAACTTTTAGCTTCTACTTGAACCTACTGTTTTTGCTTTTTAATTTTTTTAGTACTAGAGACTGAATGGAGGGTCTTCACACTGAGCTAGATCCCCAGCACCTTACCCCTCACACACTCTTTTAAAAAAAAAATTTTTTTTAAATTTTGAAACAAGGCCTTACTAAGTCAGTCACTAAGTTGCCCAGGCTGGGTTCAAACTTACAATCCTCCTGCCTCAGCCTCCCAGAGTTTTGGGATTACAGACAGGTACCAACTAATTTCTCAATTACAATATTAACTCTTTTTCTTCCTAAATCTGTGTTGGCAGGTGAGAAATCACTGACCTATTCTTGACTCATACACCTTTTTCTAATGTTTTTGATACATCTTCTTTCTCCCATTCTCCTTGTGGTTTCCCACTGTTGTGTGCATTTTGCACTACAGAGATTTGTTATGTGTTATTCTGTGTAAATTCTATGATGGGTGATTGAATTGCATTTCCTCAAAACTTTTATGCTGAAGCCCTAACCCACAATGTGACTACATCTGGATTGTAAGCAGGGATAAAGCTGAAAAAGGTGATAAATGTTAGATGAAGTCATAAAGTGGGGCCCTATTCCAATAGGGCTCATATCCATTTAAGAGGAAGACTGTTACATGCAAACCAGGAAGAGAGACCTCCCAAGGAACCAAAATGGCAGACATCTTGACCTCGACTTCCCTGCTTCCAGAATCATCAGAAATAAATTTCTACTTAAACCACCCTGTCTGTGGTTATACATATTTGGTTACAGCAGGCCAATCAGATTACTAAAGATTTCAAATACTGTTTAAATAAATTGTTTTAAAATAAAATAACATATATAGTATTCTAAACATGTTTTATGTTCACTGAGCTGCAAAGATCAGATACAAGTCAGGTAGTAGGAAATTTGTGATGTAGCCTTTTTTCTGAATCACACATTTTTCACTACCACCTTTACCGCCCCTTAAATTCAATCTAGCATAAAAACTTGAGATAAGACAACTTAGAAAGAATGCTTGATAGGGTACTGCTCTTATATCTATATAACCCTAGATATTGACAGATAACTAGTTTTGAATACTAACATGAATTCTTTTTCAGCTTGTGTGGCACATTATTAAGGAATCCATATTGATTTACGATAACAAACAACAACTGTTATTATTTAGTCTTACCTTAAATGGGGCTCCATATATAGATTCCCCACCAGTCCCTGTGCCAGTAGGATCTCCCCCTTGGACTATAAAACCAGGAACAACTCTATGAAAAATGGTGTTGTCATAATAAGCTGAAAATATAAAGAATAATTTATCAATTTATAAAATTAAATTTACCCATAGTCATCAGAGTTAATATACAACTAGAGTCACAAGATTTACTTTCCAAAGTACTTAATGGGCTTCCAAACCAAAACCTTTCCTTCTCTATTACTGAAAAATTTTTTTTAGTTTTCAAAAAGCACACATTTCTACAGAAACATGTTGGTAGCTTTTTTTTTTTCTTTTTAATCTTTGGTATTCTCCCAAATATTTTTGTTCATCACAACTGGGGTATACTACTGATATCTAGTGGGTAGAGAGCAGGACTACCACTAAACATCCTATGAGGCAAAGGACAGTTCTCACAGTAAAGAACAACGAGCCTGAACATCAATAATGCTGAGGCTCAGAAATCCTGGGAGAGGATATCTTATTTCCTCCGTCTTTCTCTTCTTCCCACAGAAAATCAATTTATTAATATGCAAATAATATACAAACCTATAATATATCAAAATTATTTATTACTTATAGGTCTAGCACCATTAATGCAATCTCCCCAAGAAATTTGAGGTATAAATCAAACAGTATGAGCACTTAAGTCTAATTAAAAATTTTGAGATGATAGGGGATGGGTAAATGGGATGAAATTAATCAAAATATGTTATATGCATGTGCCAATATACCAAAATGAATCTCATTATTCTGTATAACTTATATGTAACAATTAAAATACTACGTTTGTTAGGTAGAAGAAATTTAAATTTTAAAGTCACAAACCTACAAGACAGACCATATATGATCTCCAATAATACTTAATGTCTGAAACCTAGAATCATTAGGGAAATTCCAGAGGAGAAAGAAGTTAATTTCAGTAAAACAGAAACAGCATCTCAGTGATTCAAAGCCAAGCAAAGAATTTGACAGGGGATAATTAATTAGAGTTTGACTGAAGGAGCGGGTTTATATTAAGAAGTAACAAATAATGACCAACATCCATAAGAAAAGATGTTCAACATCATTAGACATTAGGGAAATCCAAATCAAACCCAGAATGAGTACTATTTCACACCCACAAAGATGGTTATCATTTAAAAAGAAAACTTAAAATAACAAGTTTTGGTGAGAGGATGGAGAAATTGAAAATCAGATATTGCTGCTGGGTTTGTAAAATGGTGTACAAAGTTAAACACAGAATTACTAGATGATCCAACAGTTTCATGTCTAATTATAGGTATCCAAAAGGATTGAAAACTTAGATAAATACTTGTTCATAAATGTTCATGTCAACATAGTGAGTTCACTAAGTATGTATCACTAAATTACATACTTCAAAATGATAGTTTTAGGTTACATAAAGTTCACCTCAGTTTTTTAAAAATTCCTCTAGGTAAAAAGAAAGGAATTATTTTATCTCACTGAAGTTAGTTTTGTACTTACATTAGGTAAGTACAGGGAAAATATACATAGACTATACACTCTACCTTGAAACAAGTGCTGAATAAGCAAAAACTATAATTATCATTGCAAAAACAGACAAATAAAAACAAGCAGCAATAGAAGTTAAAGTGAAACCAATTAGTTATTAAATGTAGTCAGGACCAATCACATGTTGGGAGTTTCAATTTATGGAGAAAAAAGTGTTCTCTGATGTTTTCTCCAAGCTGCAGAACTATCTAAGTCTAGATTTTGTATCGTATAGGATGATGTGTTCACTATTTAAATTTTCTCGAGTTGAGCCTTGCATTACTTGCAACTGAATTCAATGACAAATATACATAGGTATCCATTACAGCACAGGCATTGCACTGATAGAATTACTGACATAATTCATAATGTAATTATTCCACTGGCTTAGGGGTACTTCATAATTATACTTTTGAGAGATAACGAGATATAAAATGTACATTTTAAAAAATGTAATCTGTAATTTACAAATTGTACGGAGCACAGAGTACACTGCAAGAAGTAGAAAGGAATATGAGGTGACTCTTTGTTTAAAAAAAAAAATCCCTTCTTCCAGGAAAAAAACTGTTAGGGCATACTCAGCAGAGCTCCTCAGGCCAGACAAGTTCCACATGGTTACAAACAGACTATACACATCAAGAAATGTAAAAGTATCTCTCCTAAATCGTAAGTAACCATTTTGTAGAATAACACTGTATTTAGCATTCAGGAGTTGTGGTCTTGTCTTATGGGACCTGTAAAGCAATAAATTCAATTTTCCTACTATAAAACCAATAATATAAATCAACTCATGGGATTGTTTTAAAGATTAAATAAGATCATAAAATTAGGTAAGATGTAAAGATTAAATAAGATCATTTAAAAACTTTCACATTAAACACAAATGTAAGATCAGACTTTAAAATTTTCACTCAACAAGCACATAATCAAATGTGAATATAAAATTTACCTGGTATACATCAAAAAATAGAAATACTCCTTTCAACTCAGAATGTGCCATCAACTAACATGATCAGATTAGTTTTTTTCAAAAGGTTACTCTAACTCCCAGCATGGAGAATGGATTGGAAGGACACAAGTTGGAGAAAGAGAAAGAAAGAGATTATTGTTCCAAGTTCAAGTATTTTGGAAGCAGGCTCTAACACACCCAGATATATATTACATGTGAGAGACGGGAGACATGAAAGAGGTCTTTATTACTCCTGTTTCTAACTTTTAAAACAATACCATTCTATTCTTTTCCCCCTACTTTAAATTTAGTTCTTGTTGATGTCAGCCTTTTTAAGGCTTTCTTTATAATTTTCTCAATCATAATGCATAAATAGATGCATAAAATTATTATAGTACTATATATATATAAATGAGTATGAATTTTCTATAGTCTGCACACCATAATTTTGTACTTTACTATAACTAGAATTTCCAATTTCCACAAATTTCTACTATTGTTGTTATCTATTAATAATTGCTATTGAGCAATTTATACATGTCTTTATAGCATATTAGGTATGTGCCATACTAGATTTTGCTGTTTGCAATGTTTATTTTTTTCTTAAATCTTTATGCATCATCCTCACATAAGTATTTTGAAGAAAGAATCTTTATTATTTCATTATGCACACTCACATCATCCTTCTAAATGTTCTCCACTACTGGGAAAAAAAATTAAATGCACCTGTAATGTGAAATGAAGTTCTATTTGACTGCTATGGTTCTGGTATTTCTCATTACATTTTTATTTCTGGGTATACAATGTAAGGATATTGTGACATATTTTGATTAATTATACATCTAGGTCAAGTTCTTATACAACTTTATAGCTGTATTTTAAAATCAGCTATACGTGTTTCTTCTAGGATTTTGTATTTAATTTTATGTGTTATCATTAATTATTTTTATCTATGTGCTCATTTTGATAGCACATATACCAATATTTATCTAAAGCTTACTTTGTGATCAGTCTGCCCTATTTACGTCATCCTCACCACTATTTTGTTAAGCAAGTATTTCAGTGTCATAAAAATTATTTTAATCTGTGGCATACTAATATGTGGGTGTATCACTTTTCCTATAAAAATTAATAAACTGTTGTTAAAGGAACAGGGTATAAAAGATAACTAATGAAGAACCAACCAAGAAGAGAAAATGTCAAAGTAAAATAGTGGTAAAGAAGTGATTATTTGCATAAATCAATTTTATGCTTTCCTCACAATTTGGAGGAACTAACAAAAATATCAAAGCTAACAAGCTTCCTTTTGCTTCCCTTATATGATAAATATTTACCCTACTTTTTAATCTGACCATCTTTTAAAATTTTCCACTTATTTTAAATGTTCACTTAACTTTACTACAAAGACACAAAACCTAAGATTGAGTCTATATAACTTTGGTTACATAAACTTTAACTGTGAACATTATTTTAGTTGAAGGCCATACCTGTGGCTATACTACCACTTTCTCATGCTTTTATTCATTTGCTTTTAAGCCACAGAAACTACGCTTTGTTGCTGTTACACTGATATGAGTGTTACAAGAGCTAGTAACATGAGAACTTGTTTAAATTGTAAAATCAAAGTATTAAAATAGGGTTCTCTGAATTACACATTTTGTTTCCCTTGTAGGGACTGTGTGTGACTGAACTACAGTCACACATCCTAGGAAAGTGCTCTACTACTGAGAATGCCCCAGTCATTGAATTTAAAACCTTGACTTTACTAATTTAGAACTATCTTCATTTAAGTCAGTCTTCTCAGTTTTCTTGTTAACCTTTCCAATAATAATTCAATCTCATACCTGTTCAATTTGAGAATTGCTTTGGTTTATTATTCTTCTATTTTTTTCTTTCTCCTTGTATTCTTATAAACTGAAGAATAATTTTTGTTGTAATTGAGTTTCTTCATCATCTAACATAAGAACTCATTTTTTCTTCACTGTCATATTATACCCAGATATATCTGTTTTTTCCATTCACCTGGTCATGGATTGCAATTTACCATTCATTCTTTCTAATGCTTTTATAATTTTACTCTCCTCCTATAAAATTTGAGCTTTTGATTCTTCAAAACTTCTTACCAGAAACAAGTCTGACTTTTCTGTGCCTCTTGTGTTTCTTAGCTTTGTTGACAGTTATTTGAGTCTCCCTAACTAAACTACCTGTCTGACTCTATTTCCTTCCTGCCTGCCATAGCAATTAATAATGTTCTTTGCAGATGTCTTCATCCCCACCCTCTGGTTTTTTTCCTTAAATCCTTCCCCACTTGTTATCTGTCTACTTATCTATTTGGAGAGCTCTGGCTATACCATACTACTGGATTTGCTCATGATCCAAAAGACTGCCTTCTGATACTCAAATAATGTTGCCTGTCTCCAAAAATCAGGTATAACTTAAGAGAACAATGTTCTGCTTTCACTGGAGATATTAAAAACCATATTCAATGCACTTTAGAAGCCAACAAAATGCATTAAAAATGTTTGGAATGTTTAGTTCCATAAAAGAATTTCAGAAACAAAATACCCAGGTACATGTAAAATACTGCAGTTTTTAACAGAAAAATTGTTACTTTATGACCCAAATCTAAAAAAACAACTAGAGATATTGATAATACCATCAGTGAATATGAAATGGAAAGTTTTGTGAAGAAACTGGAAATTTTTTTCTTTTTCTGATTTTGTGAGACACGGTCTTGCTATGCAGTTCAGGCTGGCTGTGAACTCACTATGAGCCAAAGCTGGCCTCACACTTACAGCGATCCTCTTGCCTCAGCCTCTGAGTGCTGGGACAACGGGCATGTGCTACCATGCCTAGCTAAGACACTGTAATTTTGAACAGACAGTAAAACATGAGTAAATACAAATTTTAAAAAGGGAAGAGAAAACATACCAGTAAAAAGAAGAACTAGTTTAAGGATAAGTGTGGGAGTGGAAGTGCAAAGGAAATGCTCAGGAACTGAAAGTAATGACCAACTGTAAATATATGCTTAGTGAGATGAGAAATAAAGTTGGAAAGCTAGGAAGCCAAGCTGCCTGAGGCTTAAAACAGCAAATGGATGGAGGGAAAAGAAATTAAGATGAAAGAGAAGAAGACCAGATAGGAGGCAAGTACAGTCAGGTGAAATTACAATAGGTGAAAATCAATGCAGTGTGGGGGAAAATACTGGTAAATTTGATTTCGCACTGGTATGGTTACAGTTAACAATAGATATTTTCAGTAAAAAAAAAAAGTCCACTAAGCAATAAGAAAAATTAGTGCTAAGAAGTGAAGAGCTGACTGGAGCTGCAAACATGATAATCATTTAGATGGAAGTAACAATAGAAAAAGGTGTAGATAATGCAGAGCTAGAGGTAATCTTAGGGAATACCTAAATGTAAAGAATGCAAGAAAAAAGTACAAGCTAGCAAAGGATATCAAAACTGATCACAGTATTATCTGTTGAGAAAAAATTCTCTGTTAAAATTATATAAGGTAGGTGCTACAGTACATACTTGGAACTGCAATTACTCAGGTGGCTGAAGCAGGAGGAATCACAAGCTTGCAGCCACCATAAGCAATTTAGCCAGACCACGCTATGTGTGAGGACCTAGGTTCAACCCCCAGCACCATAATCAAGCAAGCAAGCAAACAAACGAACGATACCTTCCAAACACAGCTGGATGAAATTTCTGCAAGCTTTTGGAGCTTCTTTTGACCACAACTCTATGTCAATATCTCCAGCAGTAGTTTTCAATAAAACCTGCAAGAAAATAATACATCATTGTACTATAATACCATTTTCCTTGAGAATTACTGGAACTTCTGTAGCATGCAGTAATTATCTTTCACTTTTGGAAGAAATAATTTGAAACTTTGGCCTTGGTTGCTATACTCACCAAAATCTTAAATATTTACTACAGTTCACTGTACATATAGATCACGCGACATACCATTTTCAGAAACAGTTTAGAATTTAGAAAAAAAAGGAACATTTTTAATCACAGAAAAAAAAAAATCATTCATTCAAAAACCAGAAACAGGTTCTGGTGGGAAGAGAAGGATGAAGAAAAAAAATAAAAATAAAAACCAGTAACATAAACTTGTAATCAAGTTTCTGACTCCAACCTTCCAATAAAGTTGACATAGCGCATTCAGAAACTAAAAAAGCAGTGAAGCCATCACATTATGATGCCGTAAGACCACTTTGCAATTACTCATTTACAATTGCCCGTTTACTGTGTCATAACATTTAAAATGATGCTGTTCCTAATTTACAAATAGAAGTGAAAAATACCTACATGTGCTAGATTTTGAAATAGTTTCTTTAACCCTTAAGGAAATATAAACGAATCAGAAATAGAAGGATGCATAGTTTTCTCAATCCACTGCAGATCCTTTACGAAACAAAAAAAGGGGCGGGGGGGGGATGTTTGTTGAACATCTCCCAAATGACAGCTTCTCTGCCAGACACTTTACAAATCTTATCCCATTCAATTCTCACACACAAAATACATATCATTACTGCCATTTTCTTATGAAGAAACACGGACTCCCAGACAAAGTATCTTTATCCAAGGTCTCACATTGAATGATTTCAGCTAACAGCCATCTGGCTACAAAGATTATATTTTTTCTATATCAGAACACTGCTGCCCTATTTTCCATACTACACTGGTAAACAGTCCTTCAAGCTCTAAAGTCCTGCCCTGTGTCTCAGAAAAAATCCCCAGGATTGCCTGGGTCACAATTTATTTGAATAGGGCCGCAGGTATAGCTCAGTGGCACAGTACCTGCCTGGCAAGCACAAGGTCCTGAGTTCAACCCCTGGCACCAAAGAAAAAAAAAAAAAGAAGAAGAAGATTCGAATAGTGTACAATACATAAATCAAATGCAATCTTGTATTGGCCAAACTGAGCAAGGGTAACCCTAACCTTAGATTAGCTTCGCATGAAACAATATCAAAAAGAAATATTCCACACTGGATGATGAAAAACCAAGGCAACTTGATTCACATTCTCCTGGGAGGCAAACATTTTAGATAAAGAGAGGTTGGATAATGCCCTTTATCTAAGAATGAATCTGAAACAACACTAATGTCTTCTGGTTTTCTACTAGGCCTGAGGTACATGCCAATCTCAAAAATGTATTACACCTAAAAAGACAGTGTCCTGTCCTACTTTAGTATTTCCTTGTGTACTTAAAATGAAGCACTGTTTTTTAAAGGCAACCTAGACATGTCTTCTTTTCTTTGTAACTCTAAAGCAATGATCTCCAAACTTTTTCTAAGTGTGTAAACTCATTATCAAAAAAAGGAGGTGAAGGATAGACAATGTAAGGGCTTGAAGCTCATATGCCCAAAACACGCAGACTTAAATATACTAGTGGAGTACTACAATACTCCACTAGTATGTATAAAAGTGATAGAAAATAAAAGCTTTATAAGATTATAAACACAGAGATTTGAAATAATTCTAATTATTAATTATTATTAATTATTATGATGATCAATTGTTATTGAGATATAATTCACATAAATTAGAAATTTCACCATTTTAAAGTGAATAATTCAGTGGCTTTTTTTTTTTAGTAATTTCACAGAGTATGCAACTGCTGCCATGAGTTCCGGAACATTTCATCATCCTAAAAAGAAACTTTGTAGCTATTATCAGTCACTCTCCATTTCCCCTACCCTTAACCTTGGCAGTCACTAATCTGTGTTCTGTCAGTATGGATTTGCCAACTGGACATTTCATATAAATGGAATCATAGTATGTGCCCTTTGTCTGGTTTCTTTAGGATACTATAATATTGTTATAATGTTGCTTTCAAATCACAGAGGTCTGTCTTCTTGCTCTATGCATTCAACAGTTAAGTGTTTTGAAAAGACAATCAAGAGTATAAACAATGGGTTTGCACTCTTATGGGTAAACATTTCAAGACAGATTACCACCAGCAGTTATAAATAGTATCTGTACTTCAAACAACCTTCATAATAATGTCTAATTTTTGGACAGACCACCAACGCTGAAGTATTAGCTCTACTATTTTCTTGCTGTTTTCCTTCCATGTGGAATTTGTGAGATCTGGTTTAGTGCAACTGGGTACCGTGGTCTGTAAATTCGTCAGCCAGTCAAGAAAATTACATCATGATGCAAAAACTGACCAACCAAGTGACTAAACATTCATGATCTTTTTACATATAAAATAGCACTTAGACAATGAAGGAGAAAGCAATACAAATATATGTGGATTTCCTCCCACTGGATGGTTTTGCACATCTCCTGAGATACACACTCACTGGCTTAGCAGCCACTATTCTAAAGAACAAGTTACTGCCTATCATCCCTTATTCCACAGGCTGTGCAGTCAAGCTTCCCAAATTCAAATACTGATACTTCTGATTACTAGCTTTTTCACATGGGGCATGATCTCTTATAGCTCTGTGACTCAATTTCCTTATCTAACCACAGGGACATCTGATTATTATTCTAATTATTGAACTTTTCCTGAGCACTGTAGATTAACAACATGTCCATCCTACAATTTTCTTTTCCTTCCTTCCCTCCAGTTTATCTCTCACTCTCTCAGCCGCAGGTAATTTAGAAAAGAAGAATGCATATATGCTTGGGTCACCTTGCATACTAGAGTTTCTTAATCTTTTATTGATAAACTATAGAATTACTAAAAAAGGACATGGTTCCTTCATCTGTTGGCCGTGATCATTTCTTCAGGCCTTGGTGGCTCTTTTTTGTAAAGCTTCCACATAGGACAATGTATTAACAATTTAGGTTAAATGATCAGAAAGTGTAGAAACGTCATCTCTAATGGATTACCTGCTATGCTTAAGAAAACTTCTATCAAGTGCTACATTTTTGTGCCTTATCCTTAAGTGCCAGTGTTACAACAAAATAGCACATTTATGAACAGCATCCAGTGGTCAACCACTGGTGTCATATGTCAATTACATCCCAAGTTGATACTATTTTATAGGTAACTAAGTTAGATAGATATTAATGTCTATGTCTATGTCTACATAGACTGTATATTAATGTCTACATTACAGTATATATACAGTATATATACAGTATATATATATATACAGTATCAAAGAGGAATAGGGCTCTCAAGGATGTCAGCACAAAAATGAAGAAATCAGAATTGTAGCTGGAGGCGCATTTGAAGAAAGCCACATCTCAAGACAAAAGATGCAACGGCCAGCTCTACATGCCTCCTTAAGGGATAAACAACAACCTGAGATTATATTACAATTAGCACCAGTTGGTCCAGAAAGTCCAGATAGCTATCAGTTGCCCAGGTGGGTGACCAGACCATCTGGACCCATCCCTTTCCAAAAATGCCCTTTTTCCATGTACCCTTGCCATGTGCCTCATTTCCTTATCGGATCAATATTAGTTAAGCAACTACACTTTGTTGTTGTTGTTTTGAGACTATGCAATTCAGGCTCACTTTGGAGTCTCTATGTAGCCCAGGATAGCCTTGAACTCACAGAGATTCTCCTGCTTCAGCCTCCAGAGTGCTAGGGATTACAAGTGTGGGACACCATGCCTCGTTTAGTAACTATACTTGTAATCCTATCCGGTTGATGGTAGTTTTACCCACATTATACCCATGTTGTACCTTTGCTATATAAATTACCCCTGACAAAGGGCCTCAGTGTTCATTTGGGAATCCTCCTGGAAATCCAGGAGTTATTTTTCTGTCCTTATTTCTCTCCTAACTTCTTTCTTTGGTTCAGAACTTTATTCCTCCATGTTGTGAGACCATTAACCTGGCACATTTGACATCTAACAGGTTAGGACTGTTAGTTCTCCTATATCAGTACTATGCTCTTTGAAGGGAGGAATTTCATCAAATTTATTTCTAATGTTTCTGTATTATAATCTGCCTATGTACTTATTAGACAATGAAAGTACTAAATAAACATTCATTGGGCCAAGTTGTTACTGAATCTCCTTTAAATTCCTTCCAAGCTAAAATCTTTGCCATGCTCTATTGAGCAGAATTTTAAAGCTTTAGTATCTTCAATCACCCTTATGCAAAAAAATTTTTAAAAAAAGGTTCCAAACTGTTTTTGGAAGAAAACATAAGATAGTCCATGCCTTATGTTCCCCTCAGGCCATTTCTGCTCAAAAGAAAATATTCACCACAACCTGTAATTCCACATTAACTTGCATAGATATTTGTTTAATACATATTTCTCTCAACTAACTCCATGTAATAAAGATAATGTTGGATTTCTCTTCCAGTATTCCCCTGGCAAGTGCTAGGTCCTCAATAAATAAGTGATGAATGAATGACCTCCTATTCAGAAATTTATCACTGTTAAAACTTTTCATCTATATGACTACCTCAAATCATCCTCTAGAGCAGCCATGTTCAACCTGAAGCCTGCCTTTTCCCCCACCTTTTAAAAATGTTATAGTAAAAATATAAAAAGGAAGTAATATTATTACTTATATGTAGTAATAACATTATGTATTTCACATAAAGACAATTCTTCACTCAATAAAAAGGGGGGGGGATTCTTTGGAGTAAGACAATTAAATCTGCCCTTGGCCAATGGCAGTAGTATAACTTCAAACTCACTGATGTTTAATACTTTTCAGAAGCTAAGAGAAATAAAGTACTAATTCATCCCCTACTATTCTTTCTTTCAGTATGTATTTGAACTCTTCGTACTATGTGTTAAACACTCTTCTAGATGTTTGTCTCTGGCCTTATGTTTGTAATTTATAAGAGGAAAAGAAAGAGAGGATACAATAAACAAATAAATAATGGACACTACAGACAAACTAAACAGGCTAAGAGGACCAGGAAACACTAGGATGCAAAGTATGATTGAGGCTACTTCACAGAAAGTAGTAAGAAAGCCCTCTTTACATGTGAGCAAGTAAAACAGCACACTAGAAAGAGGTACAAGGGCTGGGTATATAGCTCAGCAGCACAGCGCCTGTATGGCAAGTGTGAGGTCCTGAGTTCAATCCTTGGTACTAAAAAAAAAAAAAAAAAAAAAAAAAATGAAGAGGAACAGCAAGTATAAAGGTCCTGCCTGGTAGAATCAACAATCTCTTCAATCTCCACCAATGTTTATCATCTGAGAATGACACTGAGTTCGTGGGATGTGGTTTGGTAGGAGTGGATGGTTGGATAGGAATGCTACTCTATAATGCTTAGGAAAAGGTCTAACAACAAATAATTTAAGGAATTGTTCTGCCCAAGATACCCACTAAATGTTTTTGCTGGAAATTAATGCATTTTTGTTTTGCTTTCAAATTGCCTTCAATGAATAAAACAGTATATAAAAGGTTTATGATAAAAACATACAACAAATTTGTATTTTATATAACTGTAGTTTATCCTCTCTAAATATACATATATACGCACATATTTACATATATTATGTATATGTGTATGTAATATATGATACGCATGCTTAGGATTGAACACAGGACTCTGTAAACGCTTACCACTGAGCTACACTCTCAGCCCAGCTATGTACTTTCAGCCTCATCACTCCCTCCATCATGCTTGCTCATAACATATCATATATGACATGGACTTGGTTTCAGTTCAAGAATTCAGGTGACATTTATTCCATGATTGATTTCTCTGCCTCAGACTGCATACAAACCCCTTAGATGGGAAGTGTCATACTTTGGCCATCAAATCACCTTATAATCAGCTCATTCTAATGTGGTAACATTACACGTTCCCCGCTTTCTCTGACAATTCACTTTAAGGCGAACTCAAAAGAGAAAATGTTTTCCCCAACATTCCCGGTTGCTCGCTCTTCTGCACTTTCCAAAAGTATACCTATCAGATATAGCATAACGTTTTTCTTTTTCACTCGATCCTACCCATTGATCATTGTATCCTATCGCCTAGTACCTGCCTGGTGCTTGGCAGATATCCAATGATTTTATAGAGGATGAAGAATGACTGATCTCCAAATGAAGCATATTCAAAATTTCACTACAAAAAGCAGCGACGCTAGAAGATACCTGCGTAAGTTGAGTGAAGGTAGGAAACAGGTTTGGGGGAGGCTGCTAGACAGATAGACGTCTACTTGACGACTTTTCCAAGTATATGCTAAGAAGCTCCCACTTGAGTGTTTTAGATGTAACACTGTCCATAAGTAGGTAAGGTCAACATCTGTTGACCCTTTCAACCCTAAGACGCCTGAACACACCCCCTTTCCCAATAGGGGAGCCCTCACTTACAGAGCCCAAGTACCCTAGGTGAGGCTCTCACCTTCCCATTGGTGGGAGGCTCCTGGATGTAGATGTTGCTCATCCTGGTCAGTGGTCTGGACGCTACTTCTAATTCCCCAATACGAGGACGGCCGGTCACTAAAGCTGTCCACTTCTCAGTAGACGACTCTGGAAGTTGATAGTCGGTGAAAGCTTCACTCGGATATCGCTCAAAACAAGAACACCAAGCACTACCGGGTACAAAAGCTAGCGCCTCACGGACGCCGCCATGTTGCTCCCGGACCCGAACACCGCTAACCGTGAGAATGGGGATTCCTGTATACTCCAAGGAACGAGAAAATATTATAAAGTTCTTGTAACTTAATGTAACTTGCAATGTAAACTGCAACAATATTAAAAGGAACGTTCCATAAGTCTTAGTGCTGTTTACTTCCGGCGTCTGCAGCTCGTACTCACCCCCCGAAACTGGCACAAATAGTTCAGACCATGTGTATCTTCAAAGGACTCTCCTGGAAACTGCATCCGCCCGACCCTTGGTTCCGTTGTCCCTCGATGTATACGGGCCTGCCCCTAAGGGCGCAAAGCTGCTGAGGCGCTGGTGGCGGAGACCTCGTTGTGCGTCGCCTTCGCGGCCGGCGGGAAGCAAACATATTTTCGAAAGCTCAGGGCTCCAGCGATCCCCGTTACCAGCGCAATGGCAGTCCCAGGTGAAAACTAACAGCGGGGACCCGGAGTCCGAGCTTGGAAGCGAGCGGATAGGGTAGTGGAGGACGCGGTGGGGCAGGGAGTAGCGCCCGAGGGGACTAAGGCGGAGGCTTAAAATTAACCGCTTTGGTTGGTTTCCATGAAAAAGTTATACACCACCAGAGTGAAGGAAAGAAATTATTCCTCCCGTCCCCAGTCGAGTTCCAGCTGCGCAGGATTGCGGAGGAAGTGTGTAACAGGAGGGAGACAGGAGCAGCGGGCCGGAGCTGTGGCCTAAGGGAGCGAGCGGCCGGGAAATCCGAGCTCGACTTAGATAAAGCTTAAACGTAAAATTTGAGGCCAGGACATTCGGAGTACCCAGAGGCCCAGAGGCGTTGTCTGTATTGAAAGTCGCGGGGACCAGCCGTGCCTCTGCAGTTAGCTTCTGGCTCCTGGCTTTGCGAGTGGCTGGAGGCCGGTACCTTCCCCCGTCTGGGCCTCAGTTTCCTTATCGGTAAAAGGAGCTTTGTTGAACTATGTCTGATGTCCCTTCTAGCTCTCAAATTCTGTGTCGCTCGGCTGTGGAACCTAAAAACGGCCCACCCTCCAACATAAATACTGCAGAAATGTCCTTGTCCGCGACCCGCGGCTTACTGGAAGTTCTAGTAAGGGCAGACACCTCCTTGAATCCTTATTGCCACGAGGTGATCCGCAGAACTGTGGGAGATATTTTGAGAAATATACCATCCCCAAATTTGGAGATTCACCGTGCAATGTATTATAGAAAAGATTCTGACAAGTACTATACTATGTTTCACAATCTCCAGCTTTGCTTAAAACTGCCCGGCCCAGTACTGTTTGACCAGGTTCTTTGTTCTGTGGCAGCCTTGTTTTGAACCTTTTTCTACAGACAGCTGTCATGGGAAGACTGTTTTTCTATCAACTGCAGTTTGAAGAGGAGCGCATTTGGAGCTGTAGGAGAGGAAATGTGTGTGTGTGATAAAGAAGTGCCCACTGAATGCCAGACGGTGCACTAAGTAGGCACTGGGAACACAAGGTCGACACCAGCTGTTCTTCACAAGGAACTTGTGAATTAACAGGGGAGAGAAAAACCTTTACAGAAAGTGAGAATGGCTATGGCAGGGAAAATACAAGGCCTGGGAAACACAAATAACAATGTATAGGGAGGGGCCAGAGGGACTTTTGAGAAGGTGTGGCATTGAGGATGGGACCTAAAACATTGTGGGGAGGATGGAGTGGAGGAGGGAAGAGATTGCAGTTGGAGGGACTGGATGTGTAAAGGAAGAGCAAAAGAAAGATGTTTGTTGTGGATGGTACTCAGCAGACAATTGGTCAAAAAGTGAGAAATTAAAGAGACAGTAACAGTAGCTAATATTTACTATTTACCATATTTTGTATGTCTCAGAGACTGTCAGATCTTAGTTTGGAGGCGGTCAGCAGAGAGGAGTAATTCTGGAGGGTTGTGATGAATTCTAGAGAAGCTCTGGTCTCATAAGGAAAGGGGAGAAGTAGATGGGTTGGAGACACATTTTTGATAGTAGAATCACTGGGAACTGACTCTTGATTCAAGGGGAGGGAGGGTAAAAGGGGAAATTGGATGTACTTAGATTTCACTTGTAGGAAATTGAGTGAGGCTAATTACTGATAAGACAGTCACCTCATAAGCAGTAGGGGGATAATGATGACTTCAGTTTGGAGTTTGTGTTGTGTTTAGTCAGAATGGGAATGAAAATATCTAACAGTAAGCAGTCATTGTCAGCTTAGGGAAGAAGTTAGAACTGAAGACATTTTATGAGGTGTCATCAAAAAATATGTGAATGTTTATTTACATTTTTAAAAAGATAGAGTAAAAGACACATACCATTTTCTAAAGCAGTTCTGGACATTTTATGAGGTGTCATCAAAAAATATGTGAATGTTTACATTTTTAAAAAGATATACTAAAAGACACATGCCACTTTCTAAAGCAGTTCTGGAAATCTCTGTCACACAGTGCCAGATCCAGTGAATGAAGTGGATGGAGATGCGCCATAGCAGGAACCTGCCTTTCTGTTGGATGCCACTTGGAAGCCATATTTTTGATCAGAGCTCCCAAGGACACAAAAGAGGACTTCCAGAACTGCTTTAGGAAGTGGCAGAAAAGGTGGGATAAGTGTGTTAGGAGCAAGTGGGAGTATTTTGAAAAGGATTAATGGTATCTTCTACTGTAAAAATTGTTTTAATTTAAATATTCACTGTATATTTTTACCTCAGCTTGTGAACTGAGGCCATCAGGAGTGGAGGGTGTGGAGAGTGAAGGGAAGGCCTATGACTGAAGCCTGGTGAATAGCAACCTCTAAGGGCCAGCAGAGAAAGACAAGACAAGCCGGCACAGTAGATTGCCTTGGCGTCCTGATAAGCTGCTAGTCAGCATCATACGGCCTGCATCCAAAATGGACCCATACAATAGTCCCAGCACTCAGGAGATTGAGGCCAAGGGATCACTCAAGTTTACTCAGTGTCACTGATTCTTTCATCACTGAAACAAACTTCTTTTTTTTCCAGTATTGGGGTTGAACCTAGGACTTTCACACTGAGCTGTATCCCCCGCTCTTTTTTCGTTTTGAGACAAGGTCTCACTAAGTTTCCCTGGTAGGACTGGAACTTGGAATCCTGTGTCAGTCTCCCAAAGTACCGGATTACTGATATGTGCCACCAGGCTCAGCTTTTGAGCAAGGTTTTTGAGCAACTGTGTGGTATGGGCACTCTAAGGACACAGTGGCATTACTATGCTCTCATAAAACTTTGTAGGCTAGGTAAAGAAAATGTGCCGCTTAAAAACCACAAAGGTGATTTTTAAATGTCCTATTTGAAATTCCCTTAAACTTAGACAAGTGTTATAGATATATTAACCTTCTTTCAATTCAAAATAATTCCTCAAAGTATAATAATCTTAAATTGTGCCATTAAGCTAGATGGCAGGATACAAATAAACTGGTTAAACCTATTGAAAGTAGAGATAGATAATAGATGTGATGGGTGCCATACAAAAGTACAATGTAAGCACGGTTGGCGAATACAGGTATGGAAAATGTTAAGATAATTTCTTGGATGATCGATCCAGACAGTGTGTTAAGGAAAATAGGCGCCATTGAAGTCTTTTGAGGTGATCATCAAGGAAGACAAGTATTATGTTAGGCTCCTTTATTTTAGGTATAATGGATTCAGCCTGGCATTTCTTAGGGTAGTTCTCCTAGTGATTATTACAAGGTATGATTCTAAAGTAATGAGGCTTTTTCTATAAACCTCACATAAAAACCAGCCTTGTCTCTTTTATGATCACATACCTCAGCTTTTTCCATAGCATTGTATGTTAGCTTAAAGCATTATGTAGGTAACAATGAAATTTTGTAGACTTTTAGAAAAATCTTAGAATCTTAGTTATTAGAGAAATGACATTTGAGTGCAGTTTGCAGTGAAGTATGCTTTCTTTGGAAAATTGCTTTTCCACTCAGTTTTGAAATTAGCTCATTTGTTGAAATCATGTCAGTAACCCTCTATTCTCTATGAAGAGTTGGCTTGGCACAAGTAGCAGTTATGTGGTTGGCATAATTCTTTTGTTGGTTTTTTCTTCAGTGACGTTTATACAGTCAAGTTAGGGACTTGTCAGATCATTCCAGTTTGGCATATAAAAGTGATTAACACTCATATACACATTACTGTTGCATCTCAGTAGTAGAAAAATTCTAAATTACACTATATCCCATTGCTTTTCACTCCTAAACTATAGGTTATTTTTTTTCTCCCTAGTTCATGCTACCCACTGCTGCTGAAATAATTTTCCTAAATCATCTGTCTGATCCTGTCTTTCTTGGGAGACAGGAATTTAGTCTTAAACTCATATCTGTGAATTCTGTAATTCTCTTCACTTAACCTTGCTGAGGTTCAGTTTTCTTGTGTCCATGATGAAGAGGTTGAATTTTTAAATTTCTAGATGTTTTAAAGCCAAAGCCCTCCATCTCTGCAGGAGTGAAACACAGGCTGCACTCCTGAGCATGACTGAATCACTTACTCTTTCTGTTCCTTCCCATGCATTCTCGTATTTAGCAAAAGTGTGAACTAACCAACAATTCTCTGACATTTCACATATTTTCCCTCCTGTGTGCCTGTGTTAATACTGTTTCTCCTTCATTATCCATGCTGTCTTTCCCAATGTTTTAACTGAAAGTGGTTGTTTTGTTTTGATTTTGTTTTTTTGCGACAGCATCTCTGCAGCCCACACTGGCCTCTAACTCATGGCAATCCTTCTGCCTCTACCTCCCCAGGGTTGGGCTTATAGGCGTCTGCAAAATCCACCATGCCTGGATTTTAGCTGAAAGTCTTTCCTGGCTCTTTTTCATGCTTATTAACAGAACCACGTGTCTTTTATGACATGTGGCACATTCTTTTATGTGTTGACCACTTTGGTGCATTGTCCTAAATGATCTAGTGTAGCATAGCTTCCTTTACTACTCCTTCCGTAATACGTTCACTGAGGTATTTGATTTTATTCATTTTTATGGTTTTTCTAACATGCAGTGCAGAGTTATGCCTAAAAGAGATAAATATATATAGGAATGATCATTAGAATTGCTGCTGAGCAAAATGTAATATTGAACAGACTTATCTAGATAGTAGAAAAGTGATCTTGATTCTGCTTCATTAAATAACAAATTAAACCCTTTTCTTATTTTAAACAGATAATACCTGTAGTTTTTTCCTTCATAGATAATTTTGTGAGGCAAGCAGAAGACGGAGTCTTATGCATTTACTCAACTGTTAACTCTTCCATAGCAATAGTTTAAACAGCTCTTTGATGGTTTTACTTTTGTCTCACTTTTGAGGGTCAAATGATTATGAAGACAATTGTAACTAAATGTTAAAACATCTGCTTTTTCAAAATATTTGCATCAAGGAATTTATGTAGCCTATTTTTTAAATACACAAAAAAATCTAATTTCTTCTGTTCTTCCTACTTTGCCTT